TGGTGTGGCACAGTGCGGCATGGTGTGGCACAGTGCAGCATGGTGTAATACAGTGGCGTGCGGTGCAGCATGGTGTGGCACGATGTGGCATGGTGCGGAACAGTGCTGCATAGTGTAGCACGGTGCAGCACGAGGTTACGTGGTGCGGCGGCAGCTGGGAAGGAGTGAGGGTGCTGGAGCGTGCAGAACCTGCCCCACAGCCAGAGTTGCCCAACCAAGGCAGCAGTAGGGCAGAGAAACCTGCGACACCTTGCCAGTGCTGGGAAGCTGGTGCCTCTCCCTGGAGCAGATGGAGGGCACCGGGCGACGAGCTGGGGCCGGGGGCTGCCCCAGGTGCAGACATGCCTCACCATGAGCTCAGCCCGCTGCTGTCACTTGGTGGGTGCAGAGCAGCGATGCCGGCCCCTCGTGGCCCCAGGCCAGGCTCAGCCTCCCAGCACAGGACTGTGGACGGGTCTCCTGGCCTCTAGCATTGCTGTGCAACCTCAGAGCCCCTGCGCCATCCCATGCCTCCATTTCCTCCCTTGCTTTTTAAATGCTCCAACAGCAGGTCAAGGCCGTTTCTTACAGGCAGCAGACCCGAGACACATTGCTGTGTGCCTAGGGAATTTGATCGGACTAAACCATGAAAACGCAACCTGACACTATTTTGGTAGGCCCTATAAAAAGAAAAGACCCAATGCTCTTTCTGCGGCACCCAGTGGCCGTCAGCACCGGGGTGGCTTGCACTGTCGGCTCATGACAGAGATTGTCACCCCACCTCCCTCAAAACTGGGTGTAGGACTTGTGGAGGCAGGATGGGCCTGGGGACCGGTGCCAGCTGCAGTGCCCCCTCGGCCGTGGGCAAGCACTGGCTGCATGCCGGCGCGTGGTGCACATTCCTGGGGCGGTGAGCACACACCCGCACCATTAGATCATGTGTAAAAAAATACCAGGGAGGGGCTTGCGGCACAGACGGCGCTCAGCCTGCCCCAGCTGCAGGATGCGGCCCCGGGGCAGGATGGGGAACGTTGGCAGCGAGACGCTGAGGAGGTGGTTTGACTCTTCTTCCTCCTGTCCATGGGGACTGGGACCCCAGGATGGGCAGGGACCAGCGTTCCCAGACTTGCACGTATGTGGGAAGCTCCTTGCTTGACCAACAGCAGACTGTCCTGCATTTCTTTCTGCTTTCTGACCTGAGCCAGCATGGAGAAGTTGTTCCGAGATATTCACATCACACGAGGCCCTGCCGTACTTGATTAGCCCCCTTTCGCGGGGAACCACAGTCCCGCTTGCCGGAGCAGGCCGCCCGAGCGCCACGCCGGCGGATCCTTCCCGTGCAACCCACTCCTTTCATGCCAGTGACTCATAGGACAAAAATGCCATCTGGGAGCGGATCCGGAGCCTCCTCAGCTCGTTGCAAGCAACATTTGAGGCTGAGTGTTCCCATCTGGCAGCAGCTCACCCTTGCAGCCAGCGTGGCCACCCCGGCACTGCCGGCAGGGTTTAATCCTGCTGTCCTTGATCGAGTTAACCGCCGCTTAACTCTGGGAAGAGCTTGCCCTTGGCGTTTTGCTTCTGTAGCTCTTTGCTCGCCATGTCAGCTGCAGAGACTTGGGTACAGCTGGGGGTCACTGGCTCTTGGGAATGTGGCACGCTTGGGGCTTGTGGCATGTGCCGTGCCAGGCACATCCTGAAGCCTCTGACTCTTTAGGGGACACCAGTTCCATTTTTAAGTGGAATACGGAGGGGAAAATGCTGAGACTAGATGGTTACGCTTGTGTCTCTGCAGTGGTGACACATTCATCCTCTCCAGGGACTGGAGGGAGCCAGGGCTCAGGGCAAAATGCACTGATGCCTAGAAAGCCCCACGGTAAATCCCAGAAGACTCAAGGACAAATCCCTTTTCCTTAAAAGCCTCCTGTACTCAGCTCTGGGTTACACTGCGGAGGAGCAGAGGCAGGAGCTCGGAGCTCACCGGCTGGGCTGCAGGGCTGAGTTTGGGAGCAGTTTTGCAGGAAGGAGAGGGGTGAGACGAACCCTGTCCTGTCCTTTCCTTTCCTCCGGTGAGTCCGGAGGTCTGCACGACACGGCTCACTGGGACCTGAGCATCTCCCCCCACGTTCCTTCAAAACACAGCCCTGACCCTGAATGCGGCAGCCTCCAGATGAGATTTCAGCACGCATGCAAGTCCTCTCCCGCGCCAGGACCCCTGTGCCCACCGGTTCATGCAAGCCTGTGTGCTCCCCGTTCCATCCCAGCCAGGGTTTGGGTTTTCCCCTCGCCTCCCGTTGGGTCCTGCTTTTATTTCCCCTGCAGCCTCCAGGGCTCCAGCTGGCGCTGGGCTAAAAATAAAAACTTTCATGGCAGCTGCGTCACTCCCACTTCTCTCAGCAAGGGGATGAATGGGGACCTTCCTCCTCCTCCCTGGAGGGTTTCACTGGTCTCCCCATCCTGCCTGCTAGAGCCTAAAAGATCCCAAATCGTCTGCCAGCCAAAAAGGAAGCAGAGATTGACCCTGAAGGGCTGCGTACCTGTGGCCAGGGGACATGGGCTCAGCCTCCCGCAGGATTTGATCCCCTGTGCCGGGAGAGTCGGGTGTAAAAACAAGCATTTATCGAAGCCAAGAGGAAAAAACACAACAGAGGCACCAAATCCTCAAGAAACAAATGTCTCAAGAGAAAAGATGGAGGGAAAAGGGGCCTCAAGACGTTTTATTTTTAGCTTTTAAAAGCAGGAAGGAGGAAAAAAAAAAAA